AAAGCTAATGATGTAATGTATGGTGATTAACATAACAATAAAAAAATTTTTTAAAAAGTGGCATTGTATACTTCCATAACTATGATTGTTTCTATTTTTACAATGTTATCAGCAATAATCACTAATATTCAAATCCTGTCTTCCTATATTAGCTGGAATATTTCTATAAAGAAAAACATCTCCTCATCAATTATTTAGTAGCTCTGAAGTACAAATCATAGAAAAGACAGAATAAATGTTTGATTCTTTCAGAATAATTGACTGATTCTTCCTTTTACTTATTAGTTTCCAAAATATTGAGTTGGCTTTCTTCATGTCCCCCAAAGATGACTAATGATTTTTTTTTTTCCTTTTTTCAGTATTATTATGAACTCATGAATCTATTACCCTCATTGATATTCTTTGGCCTGCAGAAGCTTATTCAATTTGGCTTCTAAGACCTTTGACAAGAAATACGTAGTGTTTGGTAGCTTCCTTGCTTTCTTTTATGATGAAATATTCCAGGCTCATTTTACCCATTTCCTGCTCCAGGAATCAGGAATCTAGACTGTAGAATCAGTAATTTCTTCCAGGATCTCTGGTTTCTTTTAGTGAAAGTGGTATTTAGAGAGCACAAACTGGACACCAGGAGTGTCACTTTTACTGGATTGGTCATTGTTTCTAGACCTTTTTGTTGAATATGTATTTTTTAGGTTTAAAGGTAATACACACCACAAATTCTTACTAATACATCCAACTTAAATTCAGGATTACTGCTGAGGTTTTACTCAATTCAAGCACTTGTATCTCCTTTCAACCCAGCTGGTAGCACTCCTCAATGACACGAACGCAGTCATTTATCTCATGATACAAACACAATGGTATCAGAGTAACAGTGACAAAACAATCACCAGCAACGTGTACTAAAAGTAGTTTAAAATTTTTTTGTAGTTCTTTTTATCCTTAAAATATATCCCTTTTGGAATGTATAGATAAAACATAGGATTTTAAAGTCAGAATCATTCCATACCGTAATGTTTTGCCTCCAATTTGAACTACACTAAGGTTGATTTGTTTCATGTTACTTCACATTTTTAAGATTTATATATTTATTTACTTTAGAGGTGGGGGCAGGGGCAGAGGGAGAGGGAGAGGGAGAGGGAGAGAATCTCAAGCAGACACCCTGCTGAGTGTGGAGCCGGACGCGGGGCTCCATCCCACAACCCTGAGGTCATGACCTGTGCTGAAACCAAGAGTTGGACGCTCAACTGACTGAGCCACCCAGGCGCCCCACTTCACATTTCTTAGGTAACACTTTTAAAATTTTATTTTGTTTTGTAATTATGTAAAATATTTATATGGTTCCCAAACCAAAGGTACGAAGTGTCTTTTAAAAAGTATGGCTATTCTCTTTCTTTCAGCCTCCTGCCTCCCTGTAAGGAATAATTTTGTGTATGTGTGTCTATCTTTCCAACTTTTAAAAATATATAAATAAATATTAAACAATGACAACATACTACTTACACTTTTCTCCACCTTGCTTTTCTCATTTAAAAATATATCCTAGACATCACTCCATAATAGTATGAAGAAATCTCCTGCATTTCTTTCTACACTTGAATCGTACTCTCTCATGTGGACTTAAGTTACTTTTGATTTGTCCACAGCCCTAATGATGGGCTCTTGGGTCCTTTCCAGTCTTTTGCTATTCAAGGTAGCCTTTCAATGAATCCCCCTCTGCAGATGTCTTTTTTCTTATTTTTGCAAGATACCTTTGGCATAGATTCCTAGAAGCAGGAATTGCTCTGACAATGAGCAAATATGCATGATGGATCATTTTTATATACTGCCAAATTCCTCTCTCCAGTGTTGTACCATTTTGCACTGGCAAAAGCAATGTCTGAGAATGGCTGGTTCTTTTGGTCTCATCACAGACTATGTTGCTTTTGGATTTTTGTATGACAGTTGAAAAGAAGTTTCTCACCTTGGTTTTAATTTGTATTTCTCTTATATGTAAGGTTGTTTTCATGTAGTTGAGACCAATTCTGTCCTCTTCCCACAGTCCCTCTCTCAAAAATTATAATCCCCACCTCCCCATTTCTTGGGTTGGTACTCTTCTAATCTCCTTTTCTAGTTTCATTTCTCCTGTTTATTTCCTAAATATTCCTCTTTTTCTGGATCTACTCTTAACGTTTCTTTTAAAATCCACTGCTTGAACTGTAATAATGATTGCTATTCCTTTTTTTTTTTTTTAGATTTATTTATTTGAGACAGACGGAGAGAGAGTGTGTGCATGAATGGGGGGGAGGGGCAGAGGAGAGGGAGAAGCAGGCTTCCCGCCAAGCATGGAGCCCGATGCGGGACTCGATCCCAGGATCCTGGGATCATGACCTGAGCCGAAAGCAGACACTTAACAACTGAGCCACCCAAACGCCCCAGTGATTGCTATTCTGACTGGTACTGGGTATTTACCTGCAGCCCAGAAGTCTCCCTCCACTTCTGTCTCACATCTCAAACTGTCTGATGGAGATCATGCACTGTGCGTCCTGGCCCCTTAAATTTAACCTGCACAGTGCTCTTTGCCGACTTGTTGTCCTTCTGGTGAGCTCCAGGCGCTGAATGCACGGACTTATTAGCTCCGTCTCCAGTTGCTTCAGCCATAACTTGCCTTTTTTCCTGACGACTCCCAGTCTCGCCATCCTTGTATCAAATCATACCACCAATTTGTGTTTCTTTTACCTCATAAACGGTTCTCGAATCCATCTATCTCTCTCCATCCCAAACTACTGGCTTACACCACTGCCATTTATGCCCTGGACTATTGCACCTTTCTTCCAGTGGCCTTTCCTTTTTTTGGCTCTCAAGCATGGTCAGAATTGCCTTTGAAAACACAATTAATGTAGTGCCATTTGCCAGCTTAAAAACCACCAAAGGCTCCAAAAACACCCCCAAAACCCAAACCACCCAGCCCCAAGTCATGTTTCCATAAGTACACGTGTATGTAAGTCAGTGCTACGGGGCTCTGCAGAGTCAACACTAAAGTGGGGAGAGGACGGGGAGGTGGTGGGCGGGGTCAGTGTTAGTAAAGAAGAACTTCCATTTTATTAGTATTTGAATTGCTGGAATTTTTAAAATTTAGAATGTTTTCAGTATCACTTATCTATTTTAAAATAAATACAATGGACTGAGAATGAGGCCGACTGGGCTCATCAACAGGCTGTGAACAGTAAAATTGTCCTCTTTGCCTATGTATTTATTACCAGAGAACTTAAATCAAGACCTTCGTACCTTTGTGGTCCACAGTTTGACGGTCCAGTCAAATGACGACGTGACAAACAGGTGTGAAAAGTCGATTGGGCCCACGGCCATGTGGCAGTTAATTCCAGTCACTGGGCCCTGGTGACCTTCGAAGACCTCCCCGATACCGGCTTTGCTGCATGAAGACCACACAGGAGCAGAATTTCAGTGACCTTTGCAAAGCAGAGATTGCTTTTAAAAAAAAACAAACTTGTCTCTGCATGATTACTTCTCCATAATTTAGAAGAACAACCATAAACCACCAAAAATGAAACCCCTTTCACAGTTATCTTAAGAGAAATAAAATGCTAGATTACTTTTGATGATTAAAAAATAATATGGAGCAATATAATCTTTTTAAACTTCACAATTTAATATCAGATTTTGTCATTTAATCCTTTTTCAAGAGTTCCTCAAATCCTATCATTGTTGATGCAGCACATCAATGGAAAACATACATACTTCAATCTCAGAAGCTTTCATATTTTACTCAATAAGGCTATTCTCTCCTTATGATGACTTGCAGCACACCTTCCATTTTAACTCCTTCTGGGAAGCCCACTGGCTACAGAACTCCACACATCCTTGTATACCTACATTTACCTTTCCAAGGAAATTTTGTAAATGAAGTCGACATATCTCAAAAGATAATACCCTTGCGACTTGTGAAAACCCTTGCCACCACAGTATGATACGCATAACTTAAATGTGATATTTAGAAAATAATGTTTTCAGTGAAAGAAGAGAAGTTTTCAAGTCTACCGAATGTAACTTCCATGAGGGCTGGTGCCTTGGTTTCTCGACACCAAGTGGTTGGCCTATAGTAAGTGCTCAACAAATATTTGTTGAAAGAAACCACAAGGGAAAAGAGACAAACTTAGGCCTTTCTTCCTCCCCCAAAAGAAGCATGTCTGAGAAATAGTGATACACACTGTGAAAGTTCTCCAAGGACATATGCCGCTCATGTAAGTAGGCTGGGATTATTTCCAGGCCCCTGTTACACAATAGTCTGCACACAACCATACCCAGTTAAAAAATACACCCCAAATGCTGTATTTTAAAAATCCACGTTTATGAGGCTATGAATGAGACAAATACTTTGGGACTGTGGAATCTAAATATTATGTCACTGAGAGTAAAGTGAATTAAGTTATTAAAACATCTGGGCTTCTGGAGCACCAATAAATGTCAATGTGCTGAGCAAAATTTGAAATCATGAGAAAATGCTGCAGCGTGTGCTCCGTGTAACAGGCACTCAAAAAATTATGCCCAGTGAAACTGCAAAAAGCAGTTCCGCACGTGATCATTTGAACTCTTCTAAAGAACACGAGGAACTGATCTATGAAGTGGCCCCTGGTGAGACTCCACTTGCTCTTAACAGCATCCTGAAGGGGTTTATAGGGTGCAAAATGAGGACCTTATTTAATTTATGGAAGTGGATTTTCACCTTCTGTATGTTAGGTGAAAAACAGAAAATCCCCCTCTCCCCCCCCCACCCCTTATGCCTGTAAGACCCATTTGAAATTACTATGAAGCCAAATTCCTGCTATTTTACAACTTTATTAAGATCTGTATTTTATATTTCAGATGGATGGGCCAACGTAAGAAGCAAAATCAAGCGCGTTGTAAAAAGATTTGTGGTTTTCACCTTAGGTACCCTTCTTTTGAACCACACCGCAAATTCTGATTGTGCTTGAAAAGGACAACAGCCACAGAACAAAAATGTTCACCATGTAAAACATTATTCACATTAGAGAAACTAAAAAAGAAAAAAAACCTGAAAGTTATCAATGAACATGTTCTGTAGCTTTCACAGATAATTAAGGTCCTGGATTAGGTCGATGGAACCTAGATGCCTTGTTGGTTCTAATAAATGTGTAGATAACGCTGTGACCCTGTATTTGGTCCCCTGCATTCTCTGCGCCTCTCTCATGCCACTTACGACCTTCTACCCATGTTGCAGATATACGTACATTTACCTTGCCCATCATCATCACTTTCTTGAAGGCGGAAACCAGGTTTATACAATGTCTGCATGCCTGGCAGCATCTAGCGGTGCACTTTGCTCCAAGTAGGTGTGCAGCAAATGTTTGTATGAATGAACAACTTTATCAGGTCTTTTTATGCTTTCATAAAACTTTAATGCATGGTTTTAGCCAGTTTTATGGCATAGAACTATGAGGCATCTCTTCCTACTCATCTTTAAATCATGCAAGCAGGGGGAAATACTGCTTGTTTTTACGTGTAGAACAGTAGGAACATCACAGCTCATATTATGTGAGTGGAAGAATCCCATAGTTGGGCTATGGATGCTTATTACTTCTACAAATCACAAAAACACAGGAGTATAAAATAAACTTGAAACAATTTCTGATTTCTCATTAAATGTAAACAGCCTAGGATGAGTACAAGAGATGAAAAATCTATTGAATTAGAACTCCTAAGGTGAAAGAAATTTAAGTACCAAAGTGAACAGTGAACCTTTCAAAAGATGGTGAAGCTGCTCATTAAGTCTTACATGCAATTTTACAATAATTCTAATTACTGGATTCTACTTTATCCTGATGGTTTTCCAGGGGCATTCACCAATCTCTCAGTCAAGGCAGAATTCTTATTACTTGGAAACTTCATGGTGGCTTGTATCTCATACCATCCCAGCCTCTCTGATTGAGAGGAAGAGCCCCAAAGCATCTCTCTATTTTATTTGGGTCATTATTATTTGGGTTATTATTATTATTATTTCTCGATTCCCCATATAGATTTTTAGCTCCTCGCTTACTATGTGTCAGGCCCTGGGCAGAAAATCAATGATGAAATGGAAAGAGTTTAGTAAGAGAAAAATGGCAGATGAATGAATAGTTGAAATAAAATGTAATTAATGCTATTGTAGAAGCATATATACGAATATATAAAATAGCAAACCTATCTTTCAGCCTGTAGTCCAATCCCATTTACTAGACTTAAATTTTCTCTGTAGTACTTACCATCTCAAGCCACATATTCCCTTGTTCAGTAGTTTATTGTCTTTCACCCTCAACCAGAATATGAACTCCACGTCTGTTTTGTTCCCTACTGCATCCTCATGATGTCACGGTGCTGGGCACATGGTAGATTCTCAGTAAGTATTCCTCGGAAACACGAATGAATAAAAGGAATGCCAATTCTATGAAACCATAAAGGAGGAGAGGGTTTTCTCTGCTCAAGGGAGTCAGCAGAGGCTTCCATGTGGAAGGACCTCTGGGCTGGCTCTTGAAGGCCGAGGAGGAATGAACCAGGCCAAGAAGAGAGGAGAAGAAACAGGGTGGGAACTCATGGAGGTGTGTGGGGGTAAGCCGCGTTTGGGGACTGTTATCCCCCATGGGTGTGTGGCTGGAGCCTGAAAGCCGAGGCTTGGAAGGAGCATGTAGTCAAGGGTCTTATATGATCTGCTAAGCAGCTTGGGCTTTTCTCCTCAAGGCAGTGTGAACCATGTGAGGCTTACAAGGGCTAACGATCAGAGCAGATGGATGCTCTAAGATAATGGGAACTTGAGGTGTGCTTTGTATGTCTTCAGTTATGCCTTTCTCATAACGCAAGGTGGTTCTAATCCAGAATGCAATAACAGACTTTCAGAAGTGAGAAACGCGTCATCGGTAAGAAAACACAAAATCACCTTCCATGACGACAGGCCGTGTAGACAGTACCCTCCTCACTGCCAACCACGAAGTTATTGACGTCTCCCGTCGGGAAAGCCATTCCGGTAACAGCCACAGGCTTGGACTTATTGTACACCAGCTCCATGCTCTCCTACCAAAACACAGCGTGGTAACGTTCCCTCTGTCAACTCCTCGCCATGCCAAAGATAGCACGGAAAAATCATTTGGCTCAATCGTCTGTTTGCTTTTCACACAGCGTTACAAAAGACCCCGGCTGTGCCAGAAACCACGCGTTACTGCCCCCGACACTCATGCTTCTGTGTATCTCTGGTTTCAGGCCGGCTGGATCTCATCAGTGTGTGCTGCTTCTTAAGTCAGGCAGAGATGACAGGTGAGAATTTTGAAACTAATGGGGCAGAAACTAAAGATAATACTGTAATGGTTACACTTGTCAGCCCCAGGCTTTAATAAAACACACAATACCCTCATATTTACAAACATGTTCGGAATCAATTGTTCGTGAGAGTACACGTGTATTAATATCAGATGTACTAAGCACATGTGTCAAAGCAGGAGTGTGTGTCCTCCATGGACTCAAACCAGAAAGTTGTCACTCAAGTCAGAAAAACCAGATTTCAACGGGGACATGATTTCATGAAGCGCAGCCGTTGGGTGTGTAGGCTTCTATTGAAGTAAGTCTTTAAAATAGCAAATGAAAGTCTTTTTTTTTAATCTCAGATTATTTTCAAAATCAGGAATCAAAGTATATTTTAAGAGACGTTCTGCCGAATTCAGTTTAATGATGGTAAAGAGTAATTAAGTATAACTAACACCCCTAAATATTTCTGGCTATTTACATTAAAGAGCCTACTTTGTGCACCTGGAGTAATTTTAAAGAAATCATTTTAGGGGATCATGTTGCTATAGTTGTTAGGGAGTTTAGTCCTTTTGCGCAAATTAATAAGCCAGGTCACCTGAGCCGAGGAGTCCAGAAATCGGCTGCGTGTGCTAACAGTCGGGGTAGCTCAGATCATATGGTCATGTGACATGCTCGCAGTACATGAGAGTCACACACACAAGGAGTGCATCCATGAGGGGACACTATGATAGTACAGAAAACTGGACTGTCCAATGGGCTGTTCCGACACTCAAATTAGGAGCAGGAAAGGTGCAGTCTCTCAGTCACCCACTTGGAACAGAGAGGGAGAGGGCGACTGCTGAATGCTCCCAGTCTGCCTGCCATCCCTGGACATCTCTGTACAGGGACAGGAGTCGGTGGGCATGCTAAAACTAATAAAAACGGTCTTGCAGCCCCTGTATGACTGGTTTTAACTTAAACAAATACACATTTAATCAGCCAAATGGGCAATTAAAAATTCCTAATTAGAGGGTTCGCTCTTATATCTGTTTGTAATCTCCATGCTTTTAAAAGCAAACAACATATTGCTAAGAATTTTAAGACAAAGTTATAAAATAGCCACACACAACTCCCAACTTGTATAATGGTAAAGATCAGTCAAAATAGATGAACTTAAGTAGTTCATCTTTAAGTTAAGCTTATTAGATCTTCCCCATCAACCCCCCACCCCAAATTATAAAAAGAATTTACTTAGTCTTAATATTCTCTACATCTGTATTTTGGAGACTTATGGGAGGTTCTTTATGGCTTCACATTTCCTTACGTGTTTTCGAACGCCAGTGTCTTCTAAAATTGGGAGCCAGACATTCTAGGGTCGTTATTCCAGGAAAGGGAATAGAATGTTAACACTGAGAATTATCTCCTAGATATCTTTATAATTTTCTTGATGTTACCTCACGTTTTGGCAAAGTCTCTAACACTAAACCCTTCTCTGAGTTTTTAGTTGGAGGACAATGAAATACTTTTCTTCCCCCACAAAGAAATGTGGACAGAGTGCATCTCTGCGTGTGTTTATGCGTGCACGGACGCACCTTGTATACACACATATATTCTGCAAGTTGCATTTAGATGCCTCCCCCCAGTGGTCTCTTCCCCTGTGCTTCTTTGTTTGGTTTCCATTACTGTAATCAGTAGTGGTTTGGAAATTTTGGAATTTTTTTCATTTTCAACTTCTCATTTGTTGAGCAAGGAATGGCAGGAGCCATCCTCACAAACATTCCAGAGGACAAAACAGATGGTTGGACAAATTCTTCATACACACAGGCGGTTGTCTAGGCTACGGATGCAAGCAAGGGCTTGGATTTCTGTTGCGCGGGGACACCTTTCCTCCAAGGCAAGTGCCCATAAAAGATTGCTCTGTGGAGCTCCAACTTCGTTTGCATTTGTTTAACAATGCTGTAGGGTAAGTACAATTCATACCACAGGCAACTTCTATAATTACTATGCTTTAAAATGGATTATTTCATTTTCACTTGAAACTGACCTAAGGATTAACGTATTACAATAATTACATGATTTGCGGTAAAGGAAATGGGTTTTGGCTTCAGGAGGAGACTGCTGAAAGCAGGCCCCACTCTTTCAAGTGCATCCATTGGTTTTAGCTCCTATAGGATGTGAGGGTTTGGCTTATAGGAACTATGTTCCATTAGGCAAGTATCTCTTTTAACCAGGATGCTCTACTGTGTAGGGGAAAACAAACCCACCTGTGGAGTTGAGAGCATGTCCAGGCTCCAGGAACACATCTTACCATCAGTAGAGACAGTGATGAGGTTATGAGCGTTCTGAGTCCCCACAACATTTACACAGTACACGGGATGCTGCGAAAACGTAAACATGGGGGATCAGACGACGATCCAGGAGGAAATGCTTACATCGGAGTGTCCAACACATTACTCTAAAATGAGGATTAAAGAGTGACAGAATCCTCCAATAATACAAGCCTCAGGTCATTTGCCACTTTTGATTTGAACCTGACTGCTTTCTAAAAGCTCTGGCAGCAACGCCCAGGAGCGAAAACACTTCCCAAGCCTCACCTTGCTCCATCAGGGGCAGCCCCCCAGAGCTGAAGAAAGCAGCAGCAAATGATGATTGATGGGTCAGAAGCAGCACATAGTTTGGCTGCTAAGCTCACCATGAGTGATGAAAAAAGACAGCTTTCAAAAGAGTACAACTATTGACTTTTGGAACGAATATGTGTTACTAAATCTGGAGGTTAGTGCATTATAATCACAGTGCCAAACGTTTGTTAACATTCTTTATAGAAAAGTGGTTAATATTCATCAGCCTCTTTAATTTGAGGGAGAGATATTGGTAGCAGGGCTTACTGGCACGAGACACCTCATGAGATAAAATTAGGCTCTTTTGTGTCACTGCAAAATCTAGGATAATGATAGATTTATTTTTTTAAAATATCATTTGGGCTACTACTATGGAGGCTTCGATTTGGCTGGGGCCTTGAGGAAGGTCATTTATACATCCTGGGAATCATAAGCAAGATGCTCTAACCTCCCGTCATAACTCTGTAGAATCCTAAATGGTAGGCTAAAATCATTTGCAGCTGCACATTAAATACTAAATGGAAGGTTAGCATAAGCAGAACCTAGCAGTCATGTGGGTTAGATTTCAGGCAGCTTAGCCATCATGGGCCAAGCCACAACTTAGCTGGTGCCTCTCTGTGCAAATAGCGGACAGTCTAAGTCTTACTCTTGATGAGTTACTATCCATAATACCCAGCCACAATGACAATGAAACAATCTTTAATACTGGAAAGTTGATATTATATAAAGGATGGTTCCCAAACTATTATTATCATATAAACTCCTGGTCAGAAGGAACCGTAATCATCATCTAGGGCAGCTAGTCATCTGTTTCCACCAAGAGGTGGTCCAAACTCTGCTGAAACACCTTTCTTAAGGGTAGTCAGTTTTTGCACCAATTCCTGGAGATTTCTTCCTTCTACCACTGGGGATCAAGAAAGCTCAAGGAGATGCTTTTATTTAGTACAGTGCCCTCTGGGATCATACAGATCAAGTCCAAACAATATTTATAGAGTGTTGTTATGTTACCCCTCTCCCCCAGTCTTGTCTTACTCAGACTAATCCTCGCCAATTCCTTCAAAGGGTCTCGAGTACCCAGCTTTCAGGCTTTCAATACCCTCCCGATGCCGGTCACTCCCTTTTGAATATGTTATATTTTGTCTGAGCTCCTCTTACAGTGAAGTTCCGAGAACAAAACACAACTGTCGACCTATATTCTGAGCAACAGAATACAGAAATCTAGAAAGTGTTGAATTTTCACTTCTCGCGTGATAAAAAGTACAATTGTATTTATATATGCTAAGATTACATTGGCTTTTTTGGCAATTGGATGGCCAACTGAATCCCTAAGTCTTGTTCACGCCACATTCCTCAGAAACTTTCAATCAGCCTTAGTGGATGTGGACAGTGGTGAGTACAGCAGGGATCTGAAACTCAGTGCTACCCTTATCAGGTCTCTAAGTTTCAGGAGGACAGACTGGTTGTGGGACTGTGCGCAATGATTTTTCCCAAGCCTCCGGTGTGTGTGGAACCTGTGAGCAATGAAACTCAAGGCCCCAGCCACAAGCATTCAAAGCTCCATGTGGAAATCAAGTGGGAGAATGGATGAAACAAATCTTCACCTAAAAACAGCAGACAGTAACACTGAAGCATAGGAAAGCAAGGTCCAAATGTTGTTGTGAACCTGAAATCCGCCTAGTGATTTTCAGCAAGGGTCCAATGGGGTTTCATTGTTAACCACCAAGCATCAACACAAAGCACCAAAATTCTAGTGGATTGGGACTCCTAAGGGTGGTAATTGGAGGGAAAGGAAAGCATCTAGAAGAATGTATAGAGCTGAATGCCTCGAGTGCATGGTAGCCCCTCCCTAGCTTTAATCAGTACTACTAGCCTGTGCTTTCATGAGTAATAAAACTCGGCTTAAAAGAAAAGAGAGATGTAAAGAAACCAGAACAGAAGCAGACACGTGGGAAAGCCTACACACACACACACAGAGGCATCCACAACTCTACTTAATGGAAAGAAAAAAGCAATGCCACAGCTCATTTTTCCAATATACATGCCAGATTGTTTTTATTTATTTAAGGAATAAACTTACTGTGTGGCAGAAGGGTTTTGCTTTAATTAGGATTTCCTGTTGTCCCAAATGCATATGTGTGGTGGGTGTGAAAGGAAATTAGTAATCTGTGGCGGGCCTCTTTTTCCTTAACCACTTTTGATCCTGGTACCAATCAGCCAGGCATTAGTGGAAGTTGAAAGGCAGTCACAAAATTAACTGTGCCCTTTTAGCTATGGACTCAACAAAACGCAGCAAGAGGGGAAAAATGTTTTATTTTCGAACAGAAATATGTTACTGTTTGATAATAATAGAATTTTAATTGTAATGATCATATCCTAAGTTACTTGACAAAGAAAGCTTAACTCTTTGGAAGAGCTCCTGGATTTGGATTTTCCCCTGAAACTTATTGCTCTAACATTTGGATTTATAATTTTTGAAATTTCATGAGATGTGCTCAGAAACACACCAGATATGCGCATCCAGCCAAGAAGTGGTTTCACACGACTTGAGCACAAACACCTGTGTCAAGCTGTCTTCTCCTGGGTCACAATTTTCTGTTATTAGTTTGCAGAAATGGGGTAGGCAAGAGCAATTTTCCAAGATTCCCAAGAACTCATTTCACCTGCATGTGTCTCAGGCCCAAGTCAATCAGAATTAAGGCTGACTTGGTATTTGTCATTTCCCATCATCAATCTTACAAGGGTGGAAGAATTTCCCTCTTCATGGTCCTAGCAAAGGCAGCCAGCAGTCCTTTCTTAAAGTTAAAATGGTTTTGAGGCCAGTGGATGGAGCAAATGAGGCAACCACATTAAGGAAATTGAAACAAGAGTTGAGCTGTATCCTTGGGCATAATTTGGGCATTTCAGAGACAGAACATCAGTTACTCTGCATGTCAAGGTAGCAAGGATTGATGGAGACATGCCTGTCTTCTCATTCCTTCTAACAACTGCTAAACACACCTGTCATTCTCTTAAAGGAAATGACAGAGTAGTTGTCTTATGAACACTATACTGAACCTCTTCTGCTAAATTGTGGGTAATGGTTTTGAGATGTTGACTTTTAACCCGAGGGATTATATTGTCACTGTAGACTATACCATTGAGACTTACAACCATACATTCCAGAATTTAAAGTCATAGCACTCCCTCAAATCACAGATGGAAAAGGACTGTTGGCAAAAGTCCCATATACCATCCCTAGACATGAAATGCTTACTCTTCATGGTCCATTTGAAAATATGAGTTTCCACGTTACAATGTCAATGCAAAGAGTTTCTTTACAACAATTTCACAGATACCTCTTCCCAAGTTTCTCCCTGTGTCCTTTTGTAGTTTTAATCTGTCCCCACCTCACCAATGGTCTTTGGTGCATCCAGAGAGATCCCTCCTCTGTGCTAAAACTTGTAGATCATTAAGAGATTTTCTCTACACCCAGTGCTTCCTTCACCTACTTTTTGCTCAGCTTTATTTCAGTCTGTCAGGATACAATTGCTACAAATTACACACTTCTAACTTGGAGTTACTGACCACATGCGTACTTCTGTCAGTTATCCCCTTTCAGGGCTTGGGTGGCTGACAGAGAAATGACAAAAACTGACTTACGGTGTGGGCAGCAGCTGACAAGGGTGTCCTCTGCACTGGCGTCCTTCGATGACTGCGATTATCCCACAGGACAATCTGGCCCGAGTAAGTCCCACCAACCACCAAGTTGGGATGGAAACGAGCGAAGCACACAGACATCACAGAGGACTGGGAGGAGAAAGGGGAGAAACGTGTACTGTGAAATGGTTGGCGAAGGCTTGTTTCTTCCTGAAGAGAAAACAGTTCATCACATCAACTCAACACATCCTGGAAAACATAAAGCAACTCTTAAATGCGTAGTCAGTAGAATATTTTGTACCTCGACACAGACTTTTCCCTTGAGGGGTTGGTCAATGTTTACCCCGTGAAACTTGAAATTTGACATCCTGGCCATGTCTTCAAATAGGCATAAAACCGAGCTTATGTGTGTCATTGTCTTGTGGTATGTAAAGCTTGGTTTGTGTGGACATTTCCCATTTTATTGACAAAATTGCATCAGAAGTAATATTAATTCTCCACGAAAGTCTTTACAAAGCAATTCTTTACTTTGAGGGCATGGCCACATCGAGTTATACTATATACAGTGTTGGCAAAACTTCAAGGACCTTAAGACGTGGTGCTTTTTTTTTTGGTTTTGTGTTCTCGCCTTAATGTAGACTTCTAGGAAGTATACTGACCTCAGACTGCTCCAACTGGTTCCTCCCCAAATTCCCTCATCTCCCATGGGCATTCTCTTGACCTTGATCCTGCCCACTTCAGACAATTCTTAATGTTATTCTTTGCCTATTTTAACAGTCAGAAGTGGATTTCAGTCCAGCTCTACCAGGGCCTGTCATAGCATCACAAATTTGGTTTCTGAAATTCCACAAAAGACTACTGGGCACTACATTTTATAGGAAATTACTTAGAACCATGATACACTTAAAATCAGATAAGTTGGCCGTTCCACATTTGCAAAAAAAAAGTCCATTTTGATCCCCAAAGTGCTTCCATGTTTGTGTTTATATGTGGAAGCAATTTTTTAAAATAAATACGTTTCATCCTTTCAATTAAATTCAATGAATGACCTTACGTGTGAGAAAGGCATTGTACCAGGCATGATGGGAATACAAAGGTAGTCATTGCCCTCAACAAACTTGTGCCCTGATAAAAGAGAAAAGCATGCATGCCGATGAACAGAGCTGCATATGCTGCTAGTCCATATATGCTAGTCCAAGCCTTCCTATGAAATAGAAAAAGATGCCTCTCTGCATAGACATAGACATGTGGGGAGGTGCATGCCTTGGCAAGTGGAGAGTAAGGGGGATCTTTGTCTTCATTTGTCCCTTGGGTTTGACATCCTTGTGCAGGACACAATTTGCACACACAAAGAGCAGCCTTGAATGTGATGCATGCCATGACTAAATCATCATAGTAGCACGTGTGCGTGCATGTGTGTCTTTGTGTGTGTGACAGGGGAGGTGGGAAAGATTAGTTTTAGCTAGGGGAGGGGAGAAAAGAGGAGAGTGGAAAGGGTGGATGATTAGGAAGACCTCATGAATGGGAATGTTTCACCCCTTGAAGTACCTGCGGAACTCTCAGCAAGTGGAGAGGAAAGAAATAGGCATTCCTGGGAGATGGGGTAATAGGATGAAAGACTGGAGGCTGGTAAACAGCCCAAAACAGCAGTCTGGTTTTGGTGGGAAGGAGCTTGAACGAAGAGGCAGGTAGTAGAGAATGTGGCTAGAGAGGTCACCTGGGCCAGATAAAAGACGGCCTTGAATGGCAGGCGCTGTTTGGATTTTTTTTTGTGGACGATAGTGAGCAAGAATAGCTTCCTGAGGAAAAATGTGAGAGGATCAAAGGTTGTCACTGATAGGCCAGCAAAGTGAAAAAGTGATTGGAAAAAAAAATTATGATCTCTTCCTGAATGGGAAGCTAAACATCCATTTCTAAAAAGATCAGATCTACTATCAGCCTAAGTCTTCCTTGTCAGAAAGAGCCTCAGATACGCTGAGGTAGAAGAAAGAATGCAGACTATTTTTCAATGTCATGTTTTCCTAGTTTGAATGATTTTCAGTTCCAATTCCTTGAACATGATTAGATGGAGAACATGCTTGTGCCCCAATCTGGTTTTCATAAAGTTCAAGAATAACTCTCAATAATGATACTGAATTAAAGAAAAAGAAAATAATGCTGGTCAGCTTCTTGTTTTACACATCCCACAGAAGCGATTCTTAGTTTTCAACTGATAAAATTCTTATGTTGCTCGAGCTATGTTGGAAACATTTTCTTTAAAGCTTCAGAAAGACTTAAAATTATCCAGGTGGTATCAGCAATTGAATTTACCAAAGCTCCGATCAATATGGATAAAGGAAGGTCATTAAATTTGAAAAATCCAGAATTCAACCACTTGATTGCTTCTGTGTTTCAGTTACATCTCAGCAAATACCACTCCAAACCTTTTCTCTAAACTAGAGAAAAATAAACAGTGGAGGTACTTCTATGAAACTGAAACACATAGTTGTCAATCACCTAGAATCCAACTCCACAAAGTGAGAACACTGTCTAATTCCTACTTTTTCATTCCATACTTTTTCGTTCATTATTTGTTCATTATTCATTGTTCACTTAATCATCAAACACATAGTGCCCACTAAGTACTAATGAAACCATTTCAAGGAATTTTAAATGTGACAAATGCCCCCAATCTCGAATTCAGAATTCTATTTGCACTTGATAAAAAGTCAAATTCATGCTAAAAAAAGAGTAACAATACCTTAGAGCCCCAGAGGTCTATTACCAAAGTCTACTTTGTTCTGCTGCAAACCAAAACATGAGGACAAAGAGAAGACACATATTTTTATTTTCTATTTGGAAGATTAGCAATGGAGGAGAAGTTATGTGATTATCAATTTTGTTTATATTTTAAGCATCAAACATTATTTATAATATGTATTCTATGTATTCTAGAACATAAAGGCTCAAGACATCTCCAGGGTGTGCCTCATTTGACATACTATCATTCATATGGAAACACTAATCCAGTATGATCTCAATTATCTAGATGTAAAGTTTAAAGTTTAGTCATTTCTTGAGATGTTTTTAAGTACCCTGATGTTTGATGTAATGGTGGCAAACATTTGGATGATTGACTGAAGTTTTTATTTTTCATCCAAATGTTTAGGTTCCTACGGTCACATGGGAACAGTCCCCCAATTATGGAGAAAGTTCTTCTAATTTGGAAAGTCTGCATCAACCCCTAGGAGTAAAGTTTTAGAAAAACCCCTGCAATCTCCTGCTGCTAATACAGCTACTGACCTAGTTGTTGTTGCCAATTGTCTTGGAATTTATTGACTGTCAGCGTAAGGAGCAAAGGATGATATCACCCTGTCAGTTATAACGATTTGGTAAAGAGTAAAAAGAGCATTCCAGAAATACTGATTGACGCTACTAAAATATGCAGGGTTTTTTGTTGTTCTCATTTGCACAGTACATTTTCTGAAGACATAGTCTATGAAAACCATTATTAATAATATTAACGTTATTTTAAAAACTTCATCACTTTCCTAGGCATTTAAAATTTTGTAGCCAATTCAGTTATTCAGGGTCATAATAAAGCATTATTAAAACTATATGATTAATACAATTTAGACAAGCAAAATTAATTGGAAACAAGAAGCTGCTTTGTTATTCTTAGTTTTTTTTTTTTAAAGATTTTATTTATTTATTTGAGAGAGAGAGAAGGAGAGACAGCGAGAGAGCACAAGTGGGGAGGAGAGGGAGAAGCAGGCTCCCCGCTGAGCAGGGAGCCTGAAGCGGGACTCGATTCCAGGACCGCAGAATCATGACCTGAGCCGAAGGCAGATGCTCAGCCGACTGAGCCACCCAGGCGCCCCTATTCTTAGTTCTTTAAGAATATATATCTCGGTGCGCCTGGGTGGCTCAGTCAGTTAAGCGTCTGCCTTCGGCTTAGGTCATGCTCCCAGGGTCCTGGGATCGAGCCCCACGTCAGGCTCCCTGCTCTGTGGGAAGCCTGCTTCTCCTTCTCCTACTCCCCCTGCTTGTGTTCCCTCTCTCCCTGTCTGTCAAAATAAATAAAATCTTAAAAAAGAATATGTATCTCTATAAATATTTTTGGAGTTTTAACTATTTCCTTATTTTATTTTATTCTTTAAAATATCAGAGTCTTGGATTCATTTTGAGAAATAACGCATGGCCTTTAAACATTCAAATCAAGTAGTTTACACGAGTGGAAGAATAATGATAAAGTTGATGAGAATTTCTGGACAGTGTTAATGTCTAATCAGTGTAAGTTTTTCTGACACTGCAGTTGTATGTTTTTACAAGGCTAGTGAGTTCACTATCTGGCCCAGAAATATGATTGACTCATACAGTAAAAGCTTGATATAAAACCAGTGAGTCTGACCGGCTATATCCCAACACAAGTCACACAGAAACAGTATTATACGAGGAACCACCGTCTCCAAGAGGACGAGCACCACATTTTGATTATCAGCATATTATAGTTCCATCCAATCAGGACAAGCAAGGTTTGGGGACTATGTTTAGAGCATCCGGGCATCTCTAATGACAATTTCTGGTGCCCTCCACAGATGTGGCAGCCCAGATGCTCTGGAGGAAACTTTATTTTTTACTCTTGAGCAGACTGTTTGGTTACTGGCTGTCCCTGCAAAGGCAGCCCTCGCCCTTGTCCCTCTGGCCACACGTCCACTTGCACATGAGCTGACCCACTAGACAGGGTTCCACACTCTCCTCATCTATTTCAAGAAAAGGCAGTTATTTTCTCCCATTCACAGGGTGAATTCAGAGACGAGATGGGTGGAGACTCCGCTTTCAAGGGCTCCCTCTGCTCGCTGCACCCCCACCGCATTCAACAGCAGTCAGCCCCAACCCCTCTTTCAGTGGCTGTGGGGGCTGTTTTCTATTTTCGAGAGCTAATCCTGGCCAGTTTCGGGACGGTACTTCCCCTTAACCACAGCCCCAGATGCCCAGGACAAACAGCCTTGGTCACTGCTGGCTGGGCAGCTTGCCCCTTATGTTCACATTTGATATGGTTGCCCGAGTCCTTTTGTGTGTGGCACTCTGCCCACTCCCCAGCCACCATGCCTGGGTGGGAGGGAGAGGGGTCTTGCATTCAAAAGCATCTCCTATTTCAAGTACCATCT